TAAATAAATGAGTCAGTAAACAATGTTTTTGTTTAATTTATTCCTTTGTTTAAGCATTAATGTGTGTTTTCCTAGTAATTTTTCTATTACTATGGACCATTTTCCACTATTTATCCACCTCCCCCCAAATTAACATAAAATGATATTATAGTAACAATGTAGTGAAACTAGAAAGTAAAATTGTAAGAGAATACATTGTAATTGACCAGGCTCACAACCCTTTTTATTCCACTGGGGTAAAGCATAGCACTAAAGTAGCAAATAAGCAACCGAATAAGCCAATTAAAAATATTTCATTAAAAAAAGTATTTGAAGGTGGGTTAATCTACCTCTTTAGAGCAGCAGTTCTCAACCTGTGGGTCGAGACCCCTTTGGGGGTCGAACGACCCTTTCACAGGGGTCGCCTAAGACCATCGGAAAACACGTGTATAATTACATATTGTTTTTGTGATTAATCACTATGCTTTAATTATGTTCAATTTGTAACAATGAAAATACATCCTGCATATCAGATATTTACATTACGATTCATAACAGTAGCAAAATTACAGTTATGAAGTAGTAACGAGAATAATTTTATGGTTGGGGGTCACCACAACGTGAGGTACTATATTAAAGGGTCGCGGCATTAGGAAGGTTGAGAACCGCTGCTTTAGGGAATTCGATTGCCCTCTAGTGGAAGGAAAAGTTAATGCAGACTTCAAAGTTTCCATTTGAGAGAACCAGGAAAGGGAACTGGCCTTGGTACTGGAAACATCTGGGATAGTGGCTAGCTTGGTATTGTTCCCCTTGTCTGACAGATTTCTTGCATTATTCATATAAGGTCACACATCCTGTGACCACAGAATGTGTGTTTTTCCAAAACCAAAGAGGAAACTGGTGTGAGCTAGAGTTAGCTTGCAGGGGTTCGGGGTGGCCACGCCCAGAGCCGGCAGCCACCTTGGGGAGGCCACTGCACCAGCCTTAAGTGAGGAACCAGCTCAGGGGTGGGCGGGGTCCATGGTCAGCCCCATACCTTCCGAGTGAGAAACAATGGTGATTGATAAATCAGGATTTTTTTTTTAAAGATGGTCTGGATTTATCCCCAATTAATATGTAATTGATTCATCTTCCATTTACTTTTTAATTGTACAGATTTAACTTAAAATTATTGTTGATAGCAACTACTGAATATTCACAGAATTCAGAAACTAATTTGATCCTAAATTATAGGGAGGAAAAGTATTTTATTGTGTGACTCAGCTTTCTGGAACGCTGAGAGCAAGTCTTGAATCGGAGTGAAATGCTGCATGCATATTGGGCCAAATGATAAAATGTTTATTCCAAATCTATCCATTACTAATGGGGAAAACCCCACAGTAAGTAAGTGTTTTTAATGCAACAGATAAACCCTGCTAAAAATGTTAGTGACTAAGGGTGGAAGCAATTTCTCTAGCAATGAAAACACACCCCTCTCCCTTACACTAGAATAATTCACTACAAACCTGTAAATCGCATCACAAAACTATTTTGGCTACACAAATTCTAGATCTCAATATTACAAATCATCCCATCTTAATTTATTATTTAAAAATATACTGGACTTTCTTTCAGAGGATGTTAACACGCATACATGCATAGGCAAACAGCACCAGTGTATTCATTTATACCGTCACACCAGTGATCTGCATTGGGCCAACAGGTCACACAATGCTTGCTGCAGGCTCAGCTTATTCACCTGATATACATACATACACACATACATGGGCAAAAGTAGGCTTACAGTAGTTGTTCATATGGAAAATAATACATTAATAAATAATAAAAGAACAACTGTTTTTGCTTACTCACAACTGTAAACCTATTTCTGTCCACCCCTGTATATATTTCTATATGATTAATTGATAAGCTAGTGCTATTCAATTCAATTTCATCCTGAAATCCTGACCAAACCCTGGTCTTCTCACTTCCATTACTTATCTACCCATGTAGAGGGTGCCGCCACATTAAGGAGGCGTGGGGAGTATTCTGTGCGCCTAGACTGGAGCAAACACGCCGAATACAGTAATTGCTCCCGAGTCAGGAAAGAGCACCCGCCCCGCGATCGATCGATTATGCTTTGCAGCTGGAATGATTTCAAAACCCACGACTTTAATATCGCGGAGGTTGCGCCTCTTCGCGATTTGCAGACGCAGCGCGCTGATGGCAGAAGGACCAGATCTGTCCTATTTGGGTGGGGCTTTTACTAATGGCACACTGGCTGGCTACCGTTTCCCCAAGCACGTTTCTGTGTAGAATTGAGACTGTATCAAGAATCAGCAGCAGGAAGAACAGATTTGGGGGGGGGGAGTTAAGATTTTGTGCAAAACCTATATTTATGCGTGTATAGATGTCATCTTATGGACTGCATGGCGGAGATCCTATCTCAGCGATCTGTGCGTCTTCCCACAGCCGCAGCCACAGTGCTCTGGGGAGAATGTTCCAGCAACCTCTAGCACACAGCCCTGCCTGCCGTGAGCAAGCACCCGCGCACATATCCGACCCACAGGCACACACATCATCTCGAGAAAACCCGAAAACACGTTTTTCTAACGTAAAATGAGCAACTGGAGACAGAATTCCTTTTTGGGGTGGGGCGGGGGTTAGGGGTGGGGAAGGGAGGAGTAGGCGGAAGGAGAGTGAGTGCGACAAGGGCTCATCCTTAACCCAATGCAGTCATTCAAGCCTTCTGAACAAGAAAGGCCAGGAATCATGAAATAGTAATGACGATGGTTTGAAATAACACGAACACGGACGAGCAGGGGTGTTAGCCGCATCCCCTGCAGCAAAAGCGCTGGGCGCGGAGCGAGGCAGGGCCGGCGTCCCCGCCCCCAGTCTCAGACCCTCCGGGACCGGCAGGGGAGCCGGGTTAGGGCGGAGGGGGTAGCTCAGGACACTGCGCAGGCACCGTCTTGGGGCGGCACCGCGGGGGCGAGCGCCCAGCTCGGGGCGGGGCGGGCGCGGCGGGGGCTCTGCGGGCGGCTCTGCTCCCGGCGCCTGCTCGCCGCGCGCGCCCCCTCCCGGCGGCCGTGCGGTGCAGCCCCAGCCGGGAGGGGTGGGGCCGAGCCGCGCCCGCAGCGGGGTCCCTCCCAGGTCCCCACCCCGGGAAACCCGGGCGAGCAGAGCGTGGCCGTGGGCTTGGGCTGTGGAGAGTCCCCAGCTCCGTGGGCGGTGGGAACCGAGGCGAGAAGCCCTTCCCGCACCCGCGCCGGGGTCACCTCTGTGGTCTCCCACCAGCGGGTGGGGCCGCGCCTTTGTGTGGCCCTGCGGCTCCCGGCCCAGCCGGCCGGTGGCGGAGCGCAGGGAGGGGCCCCGGGAGCTCCAGGCGGTGGGGAGGGGAGAGGGGGCCTAGGACTGCAGAGCCCCGACCGCCGCCCCCTTCCCCATCCGCCTCCCTCTCCTGCCAAGACGCAGCCCAAGTTCGTCCCAGCTCCCGGCCGGGGTGGGGCAAGGGCGGAGCTTCCCCGCACACCCGCCGCTTCTCTCCGCGCCTCCCCGCACCGGGTCCCAGGGAGGGCAGCTTCCAGCCTCGGACCCTGGGCCCCTCCCTGGCTGTGCACCTGGGCCACCAAGCCCGGGAACCAGAGAGCGCGCCAGGCACGAGGCCCGCTGGAGAGGGAGGCCCTGGGTGCGCTAGGGCTCCGTCCCCACGCAGCTGGGGTCTAAGCTGAGCCTCTGAAAATAGCCAGTATTTTGCCCCGTCGGACCTACGAATCGGATATTCACGTGGCTCAAGCCGCTGACCTCTTTTGTATCTGTTATTACAGACACACATCTGTAGGGTCCAGAAGCTCTTCCTCAAGACGAGCAAAGGAGTTTAAAAAGCCTCCATCTGCGTCTATGCTGATCACCCTTTGCAACATGGTTTTGAGAAGAAAAATGTTCACCCACTTTCCTCCTCCCTCTGCAAAACAGAACAATGAGGCCAGGGTGCGGGCGGGGCGGGGGCGACGGTCAGGGCGCCTCCCAAACCCAGGCTGGGAGTCGGGGGCCCAGGGCGGGCGTGGCGCTGCCCGCGAGCCGGGCTCCGGGGTCCCGCTGCCTGCGCCCCGGCCCCGCCCGCCGTTGAGGCCGCGCCCCGCGGGGGTGGGGGTGGGGGTGGGGCTGGCTCCGCACTGGGTGGGGCCTCCGCATTGTGCGCCCAGCCCGCAGGTGCCTCCCCCGGGGACCCTGTCTCCTCACACAAAGAAACCCCACCCCAGGCCCGGGAGCCGCTGTCCCTCCCCCCGCCCCCCTGCAGCTGCCCACCCGACCTCCTCCTTCCCCTCCCTTCCCCAAAACAAAGGAGCTGCCCCCCCCACCCCCCCGGCACCGCACCCCAGGACTAGCGGTTTCTCCAGCCACTGAGACAATAAAATCTGCCCATTTGTTCTCCCCCACACCCCTCTTCTCCACCCATCTTTCAGGCAGCCGAGACGGGACCGCTTTGACTTTGCATTTTTCTTTCTCCAACCCCTTTCTCTCCCTCAATTTCTCCCTTTCTCTCCCTTCCTTCCTCTTCCTTCCTTCCTTCCTTCCTCCCTTCCTTCCTTCCTTCCTTCCTTCCTTCCTTCCTTCCTTCCTTCCTTCCTTCCTTCCTTCTTCCTCTTTCTTTCTTACTAGATGAGAGACAAGGACGTTACAAAGCACTTTCCAAAATTCCCCTTAACCTCATTTAAGGCAAATGTTAAAGGTAGCCCCCCCGCCGCCCCCCGCTGAGCCTTAATTTTTTTTTTAACCACAGCAACATAATGATTCCCTAGCCAGGGGAAGGCAGCTTACCTGCGTCTACTTTTAAAAAGAAATTCTTAGCTTTAGGTCTCCAAGGACCCTCCCTTCCTCTCGGCTCTCCCCAAACCCCCAGCGTGCGCAGCCCTCCCCGGTTCCGTGCTACCCTTCGTGCCTTTTTGTCTATAAAACATCTCCGAATGCCTGCCAAGCTCCAAGGCAGACGGCGAGGGTGGGCTCCAGGTCAGGCTCGGGGAGGCGGCGCGCTGCCTTACCCATCGCTGTCTTAGCCATTGCAGGGAGGTGCAGACGCGGAGCGGCGGCGAAGGCGAGGGGTCCGCGACAGCAGCAGCGAGCGCGAGAGAAGACTGAATAAGGCACTGAGTCTGCAGCGTGGGACCGAGCGAGAGAAAGAACAAGAGGCAGGAGCCCATGAATAATTATCACCCCGAAGCTCGCGCAGATTGGCTCCCCAGGTCCCCTGACATGACTCGCGCAGAGTCAGAACCTCCGAGCATTAAATATTGATTGGCCAGCGGTGCTGGAGTACAAAGTAGCAGAATGCAGTTTGAAATGGAAATCAGTCCTTCCACGGCGGCTCCCCCCCGTTCCCGGGCCCTGGTAGTACAGTCCAAGGAGAGTGGCGCCTGAGCCCAGAGGGCTCCTTGGAGCTGAGAACTGGGCTGTGCCCACCTGGGAACCAGGACGCGTGACCCCATTCACACATGTTTCTTTGCACAAATTAGTCCTAAACCAGGGAAAGGGACTCCGAGGCCGAGAAGTCTTCCCAACATTCTGCCGCTGCAAACACCTGTCTAAACGCTGCTTTCACTGTTCGTCTCTTCTCTTGGCCTTCGGCCTTGTCTTTGGTAGATTCTAGTCTCCCAGGGTGACCCCATGTCCTCTCTGGTGGCCACTCAGAGCAGAACTGCAGTCTTGCCATTTGTCTCTGGCACAGCTGGGCTCAGACCCTCTGGCCTCTTGAGGGTCCCTCAGCAAAGCAAGGCCTGATGCTTTCTGCTCTTGGCACAGAGGAAGGGGCTGTGTGGAAATAGGGACAAGTAGCCATGGCGGCCTTGTGGAAGGGGAGGAGGGCTCGCCTCCTGGGCCTGTGTCCTGTCCATCTGGTGTCAGGGCAGAGCCAGGTTGACGGGGCGCCCTGAGCATTGGAGGAGCCAGAGGTGGGCGGCTGCCGTGCTGGCCTGGAGAGGATGGATTGCACGGTTGACACCTGAGCAACATGTCCAGGTCTCTAAGGAGAACCTTCCCCACTGAAGGCTGAGGACACAGAAAGGGCAGGGTCTGAGACCCAGACTCCATCGCTATGGGCCAAGGACAGATGTGTTTGAGTTTCTTGTTGAGCAGCATGTATGCAGGGATCTCTGAGACCACTCAGAAAAAAATGACTTTTCATTACAAATGGGCATTTATCCATTCACCCCCAGTCACTTACCTAATATCACTCATTAATTCATTTATTCCCACTGGACTCACATAAATATTCACTGAGCACTTACCAAGCCCTAAGGAAGGAAACAGTTGTGAGAACGACAGTAAGACTTGTTGTCATGGAGCTTTGAATCTGTTAGTAACACTTCCGTGACTTTACTGAGCCTCCTCTAGTCTAGATCCATTCAGAAACAGTGATTTTGACACCTGACAATAGGCAAAGATTCACTAATTCCATTGCACTGGAAGCATAGAAATTATGAACATGCACAAAACCCTGGCAAGTTTTTATTTTACAGAAATTATTAGAATTTTTTTCTCATGAGTGAAACGAGTTCATAGCCACAGTCTATCAAACCCCATTTCAAAATTTCTTTCTAGCCTCATGAATAATATGCAGTTTTGAATGCCTAAAACCATTTGAAAACAGCAGGGCACTCTCCTTGGTGCTGAAATAAAGTTCTTCACCTCCTATTAACTTGTAACACATTTTAATCCCGTGGACATCTTGGAACTGAGGCTGTTCTGACCTGCTGAGTCACAGTAAAAACAAAAGATAAAGTGCAGATCAATAACATTCCTTGAACAGGAAGATTAGAAATTATTTTTCCTGTCATTGTATAGGTCTGTGACCGTGATACAGCAAGAGCACAATATGGAAGTTGGCAGGGTCTGGAAATAAATAACCATTTTCTCCCTCTCTATAGTCATTTCCCACTTTAAATGTGAGAGCTGATTTCCTCTCAGTGGAGTAGTTGCCAGTCAGGAGGCGAGGGCTCTTCAACAGACCTGTGTGACTAATGTCTTTAAAATACTGATCCTTCTCCTACCCACCACGCCCTTTCCCCGCAGGGTAGATGTCATCTCTGCACTTTCTTTAGCCTCCTTGGAGAGAAAGGTCCCTAAGTCATGACACTGATGTCTTCGACAACTACCACTGGCAGTCGAACAAGATTTATTTCACTTTTTACCCCTATGAATAAAACAAAACAAAACACACAGTCTACTGTCCAATCTCTCATTCTCTAGTGATGTTGCTTACTGATGGATCGGACTGTGAGAGGAGGTCAACATATGCAGGGTAGTGTCTGATGTGGGACTCTCCTGCTTCTGACTTCCTGGGTGCTAGGCACCTACACTCAGATATGTATGATTTTCAAATAATGTCAAGCAGGGAAGAGGGTAGGTTAGTATGATTTACTATAGAATGTAAAGGTAGCAGGCTGTCCTGGTCAGGGTAGCTCAGCTGGTTGGGCACTGTCCTGTGCACCAAAAGGTTTTGGGTTTGATTCCTGGTCAGGTTTCTGGTTCAACCCCTGGCCGGGGCATGTTAGGGAGACAAAGGATCTATGTTTCTCTCTCACATCCATCTCTCTCTCTCTCCCTCTCTCTCCCTCCCTCCCTCCCTCCCTCCCCCCTTTCCTCTCAAAAATCATATCCTTGGGTGATGATTTAAAAAAAGCAGGCTAACACCAACGGGCTAAGAAAAATTACATATACTCAAATATCTGAGTTATAATCAATTATTATTTTTTCTTTTATTTTCTTCTCATTGTCAATCATGTGTCTCAGCCTGAGAGAGTAGGGGCAAAATAGGAAGAGAGAAGTTATCTCATATTCAATCATTTATTCATTATTCATACATTTGTTCAGCTAATTCATTCATCAAACAAATCCTTATTTAATAAAACTTCAGACTTTAATATTATGAAGTCAGCTAAGTTTTTCCTTAGTGTCTAAAAAATATAAAATGAAGGAAAGCAGAAGCCACAACTCTTTAAGAAAATAATACTCTTGGAGGATGAATATCACCCTGTTTATCAGTTAGAGTCCTTTAGGTTGCAAAGAATAGGGAAAACAAACAAACAACACCCCAAGCCGACTCCTCTGATTAGAGGTAGAGTGGATGCCAGGGGTCTGGATCTGAGAGTCCACTTTCCCTGAAGGTAACAGTCTCCATGGGGACAGGTGGATCCCAAACAAGCGAACAGGTATTAGATCTGTACTTGTAGAATAAAGAGAACCATCCCTGTCTCACAGTGTTTGGGTAGACTGAAGGGCTAGGTTATCAAATAGAAACTGCCTGAGGCGCCATAGATATTTAATAAGTCGTCGCTATAATGTTTATGATTGTCAATATATTTAAACTTTGTAAGGGTAGGGGCTGAGTAATGTACATATTTCTATCTTTTTCGGTGTTTGGCTTCATGATTCAAGGGTAGATAAATGTTTGTGAAACAACAACAAAGCACAATGGAAACTAATTCAAGATGATTGAATCCAGTGCAGCCACAGAAATGCTCCCATCATCCTCTCTGCTCTGAGCTCATCGGGAGTGGGCATGCGGCTGTTCACTGTCATCCCTCCATATCCTGCCCCTTTCGCAAAAGCACAAGGGTGGATAGAGCTCCTGTCAGCAGAAGACCCTTGTGAATTTTTTTGAACGTTAACAGCAGTGAGAGGAGGCTGTGGAGATCAGAGCCGTGTGAACAGGTTTAATCACTGTGGGTCATAGCCTGTTATCCATTCCCTCTGCCTGGAGGCCCAAGGTGTGGATTCCTTTCCAAATCGGAGAGGAGCAGCTGCTTTGGAGAATTAGCTGATGTCATCTAATGCAGTCCTCTGATTTCTGCTAATCATCATCACGCACCTGGAGAAGAATCCTAAAGGAAGTACTAAAAGTTAGTAAGATATGAAAACTACTGTTAGAGTTGGATTAATTATTTTGACCTGATCTCAATTGATGACAAAGGAAGTTTGTGAAAAATGAAAAGCCACTGAATTTTTTAGGTAGTTGGAAATGCAGTTACAGTTAAAGATATCTAGAGACACATCGAAAGTAGCAACACATGAAAAATAGTTAATTGACTGGCAGTTTGATGGTTTTGCCATATTTAAACCCCTATAGATTAACACACACACACACACACGCACACACACACACACACACACACACACCCACAGGGTTGGATATGCCTTAATGGAGCCATCAAATGTGGTTTAGTTAAAAGGAAGGTTATTCCAAGAAGACGTGAGTGCCCCTCACTAACAATGGGGTCTGTGGGGTGTAGGCACTTCCCTGTGCGTCAGAGTTGTTTCTCTGCGGAATGAAGACATCTTATTACTTTCCTTTTAGATCAGCTATTTAAAAATGAAGAATGCTTCATCATTGTCTCCTTATTTGTGCCTAGGGTTTTCTTTATGTCCAAATGGGACTTGTACATATTAGTACGTAGTATCATTTACCTTGAAGCAAACTGACTTATTTGAAATGAGCAGGTCTTATTGATGGCTTCATAATTGAACTTTTCTGGAAATGAACTGGCTCTAATCATAAGAAGGGCTTGATAGAAACTTAATAAATCAAATCTTTACGTTAAATTGGTAATGTTGAACAAGTAATTGCCCGAGTGTCTTGGCGCCACTACATTAACTCTTTCCTTCTCTCTGCGAGGTGATTTCCAGCCGAGTCCAAGGAGAACATTAGTGGGACACCATCGGGGGTTCGCTCAGCGCTTCAGTTCACAGCGCTGGTGAGACCTCACTGAGCGCCTGGCAGAGAACCCAGGAGAAGAGTGACTCACCACTCTGTACCCGCGGTGCCTATTCTATCTTACATTTCAAACAGAAGCCCCTCTGTGAACTGCAGTTACCATTCGTTGCCTCAGAACTTTGTTTATCTTAAGTCACAGCTGGAAGGAGGTGGAATTGGGGAAGAGAAAAGCCAAAGCACTACAATAGTACTGCCTCCCCAGATATTTCCTATTAATTGTTTAGTCACTGATCTTCTGACCCTCTGAACTTCCTCCACCCCCATCCTGCTTTATTATCAAATTAGTACATGTAGGTAAGTGCTTTTTAAAATTAACTTTTTAAAAAAACATATTACAGGTGTCCCCCATTCCCTCCCTCCACCTTTACCCCCTCCATTCAGCCACCACCCCACCCCAGGCCTTCACCACACTACTGTCTGTGACCATGGCCTATGCATACATGCATATACGTTTA